CGTCTTTTCAGCAGGGGCGGCTGGCGTCAAAATGATGGGACCAAGTTTCCCCCCTTGGTCATGACACTTGAGCTGCGCAGCCTCATCAAATCTACGTTCCCAGGTGTTGTCCACAAGGCGTGGTTGACACCAACCCAAAAAGTGGCCGGTGAAGGAAAGCAGTTCTTGTTGCCCTTCACACTGCCAACCAGTCAGCAGGGCCCTTGTAGCTCGATCCCGGAGCAGGTCCAGTGAGTTGCTAGCCCGACTGCAGAGGGATTGAAACATCTCTGTTCCAGTGCCAAGGTCCTGCCAATGCAAGCCACGACATTGAAGGTGCCCACAGAAAGGAGACCACAGTGGCATTGAGTCAACAAGCATTCTGCTGATTGATGAGCTTCCATCCCATCACTGTGGCCAATCCCTGGTCTAGGTAGAGCGGCCACCTCGTCCCTGCCCTTTGAGGATCTGACTGACCAACTGTGTCGGGCGGACCATGTGTTGGCGAAGTCTGGCCTCCACGAGCATCCATACTGAGCTGTTGCTCAGCCACGACAGGGTGTCGTACAGGTGGTTGTCTCTCAGGCTGACCTGGATCAGAAAGGGGATCACGGTCTTCTTGGAGGCGCTTGGAGACTTTTGAACCGCAGGAGGAGAGCCGGGTTCTTCATGCTCCAGGGCTTCGGAAAGGTCGAGACTCAAACACAGTCCCCCCCTGTGCGACGCGGTGCCTCACCCGCGCGTCTCTGCCAGAGGTTTTTCATGGCACTCTGGCTCCTGGCACGTACAAGGCGGCAGTGGTGGAAGACCGCTATTAAGGCATCATTGGTGGACCGACGAGGTAAATAGCCTAGCAGCGGTGCTCTACAAAGACTGGGCATGACATGTGGGCGGACCTTCTGGGTCAAGGTTTGAAGCACGCACTTGCCCAAGACGTCGGTCAGAGCAATGGGCCTGACGTCTTTTGGGGTGTGCACTGCACGTTTGGCAATCAACGTGAGCCAGGCCGCCTGCCCGTGACCTTACGGTGACACCACATGCGGACCAAATCTGGGCAAGTTCTGTCGCTAGGCATCTGACCACAGCAGGTTGCAGTGAGCCAGGGGCCACTGCCTTGGTCAAGGGAACTCTGGCCAAATGATGTCGGAGGTCCGCAACCGTGAATGGCATGCATGACAGACGGACTGAGGGACTAGGCAGCTGAGGGGTGGACCCACAATAGACGGTCTCGAAATGCTGTCGAAGGAGGTCCAGTTCGACCTCAGGGCTCTGGGCAAGCCCCGTTGCAGAGCGAAATCTAATGGGTCTAGTCGGCTGCTTAGGACTAAGTTCACGGACTATCAGGTGGAGTTGACGTTGATCATGCGCGCGGTCCGCCTGAGCCGCCCGGGTCATCTGCTCTTGGAATCGATCCTGTTTCTGTTTCCGAGCATGGGCCATCATGGCTTTGTGCAATCTACTGTGCTTGGTGGCATGAAACCATGCGTGAAAACTGGAACGAAGGTCGGTAACCACCAAGCGCCTGAGCTGGTGGTAATGATGCCACATTGTAGCGGCAAACCGGTGACTTTCAGGGTGTTTCCAATCCGGTGCGGCTCGAGTGGATGGACAGGCAGGTTGCCAATAGTCTTGGGGCCAATGACTGAGCTGCTCTATAGATCGGACCAGGTCGGGCAGTCAATGTGCAGCCGAGCCTGGGCTTGAGGGACGAACTCCTGCCAGGCTTCATCTTGTGCACGGCAGTGCAACTGCAGGTCCTGGCGTTGGGTCCAGGTCCGTCTCATGAGAACATGGTCTATCGTCGACGCGCCGCTCGGACCTTCAAAGGTGTGGGCATTGTCATAGGGCCGAACCGTGGCAAGTGTGTGCTTGCGGCAGAGTTCACGAAGCTCCCAAGCATCCTGCGGTTCAGGGGTGTGTCTATGAAGTTCCGTGTTGAAATCTCCAGCAACCACAAGAACATTCCTGATTGGAAGATGTGTGAGGATAGTGTCCAGAGAGGACCAAACCTCAGCTCTACTTTCAAATGGTTTGGCTCTTGTGGAGGTGACTTCAGTCGTATACTGATAGACCTGGACTAATTCGAGAGTCGTCTGGGCAAGCCGGCACTTGACGTGTTGCACTCTGCCAGGAACGGGCGAGGAACTTCAAATGTCCTGTTGGCCACACAATCTATGGTGGATCAGGGTCAACAAGCCACCATGATCTCTACGGTCCTCCGTCCCTGCAGAGAGGGCCCAATACCCATACGTGCTCCAGTCTTTGGTCATGTTCCAGCGAGTCCCCTGAACGCATGCAATGTCAACTGCATGATGACTTAGGTACTGCATGAGCTCTTGCCAAGTGGCGCTGGTGAGCCCTCCGGCGTTCCAGGAAAGGAAGGAGCAACGAGGTCCTCCAACCTTCTTGCGCCGGTCAGCAGCCCGGTCCAGGAAGGGAAAGGTCGTCCATGTTGAAGGCTGCATAGAGCCACAGGTCATAGAGGAGGGCATAGGTCCGGCCAGTGTTGGAGTCAGGTTGTGCGGCTGCGGGGAGGTCATCAACAAGCGGCCTTTATACGAAGTGCAGCCATCTCTCAGCAGGCGGTGCACCGCTTTCCTATAGCTCTTCTTCGTGCTCCAGGTTGAGCTGAGCCCTTTCGCCCCGATGGGGCCTACTTTTTGCCCTATCCCACGATTCTTTTGGAGGGAGCTTGGGGGAACGTGTCCTACCTGGTCTCCTCCTTCCTTCGTCGTGGACCGAAGGAAACCCTCACCTCTCATGGACCAAAAACTTTGCGAGTACACTCCAAGGTGCTGAGGTCCATGCCCGGACTTGGGACCGGGATGCTCGCCCATCAGCCAGTAGGCCGCTAGCTGCAGCAGCAAGAACGTGCCAGCTGCCACCATGCAAAAACGGCGCGGTCTTCGAACAGCAAGGAGCGGTGCCCCGCTAATGGGGGGCTGGCTTTATGGCCATCTCGAGCATAGAGGCTTGAGGACAGCACGAGGACACACAGGGTTCGCCAGCACAGCCAATGGACGGTAGCAGCAGGACAACGGGAGGACAAAATACAAGAAGACAAGAAGAGGACAACAGGAGGACAAGACCCGGACACAAAGCCCGGACACAGAGTTCAGGCGTGCGGCCAGCCAGTGTGGCCAGCTCTTTTTTCCTAAGAGAGAACCCCAACAGGAAACGGTTGGCAGTTGCTTCAATAAGTCCTTTTTTTGATAAAATCTAGGAACCAAATGAATAGTGCGAGCGCTTCTTCAAGGAAGCTCCCCCCGCCACTTCCTTTCTCGTCCTGCTCTACTAGCCTTACTTACAGTAATTAAGACGCCTACTCAATTAAGTAATAGGGGAGCAGAATGGGCAAAAAAATAGAACTGAGGCTGCTGCGTCAACAAGTCAATCTGCGGTGTCGGCTGTTCCGGCGCTGGTGTTGGCTCCGCAGGCACTGGAGCAGACTGCACAGGCTGCACGGGCTGCACAGGCTGCACGGGCTGTACGGGCTGCACAGGCTGCACGGGCTGCACTGGTTTGTCTCCACTTCCACCTGCACAAGTTGATGGGAGATCGTATGAAATCATCCACAACACTTAAACTCGAACCCTTCGAATGTGGTGCAGCAACCGCAGTGCAGGAACAAAGAAAACCTATCACTGAATTGCTGTCAACTGTTCTCCAAGAAAGCTGCCAGTCTGTATGTTTCACATTGTCTCACCAGAACACGTCCATCCATCAAGCAGTTCATTACTATATATATATATATATACACATATTCTTTTTAATGAGTAGTGCAAAACTCCAAAATGTGTGGACCATCTCAGCACCTTTGAGAATCAAGCTCTGGAAGCCGTCAATGCCTTGTTTGCGCTTCACTTTGCATGAGGAATGTTTTATTCCAAAGCCACGGAATATGGACCCAAACAAACTCAGACTGGCTTTCCAAAGTAGAGAATGGATATCGTTGTGAATCTGGCCCATCTTTTTGATCTCCTCTACGACATCCATCTCCAAAATCTCCTTTTCCTTGGCATCAGGTGTCTGGCGCAGCATCGCTAGACTGTCCCAAATCGACACAACTGGGGCACATTCTGCTTCAAGCAACATACTTTCTGAGAAGGTATCCGTTCCATATGCTGAAGCGATCGGAGGGTTCTTTCTCTTGGCCTCCGTGTTTGCCCACAGCCAAATATCCACAAGACTTGCCGAATCTCCAAAGGTGTGTGTGTGTGTGTGTCTAGAGCAAATCTAGTGGGCAGGCATGGGCGATTTTGTGTAAGACATTGAGTGCTTCAACCATGCCCAGTGAACCTCAAAGACCTTCTCTGCAGCAAGAGTCAGGTCATAGTCCTGGAAAAGATCTGGATACCTCAGATGAAGTCCAATGATGTTTCGCCGGAAAATGAGCCAAGTCCAAACACTCGATTTGCATTCTTAATCTTTGCAACGGCTTCTTTGGCCTGAATCCACCTATGCTGACAAGCTTCTTTGCAGGATCGGCCAAGGAGTCTGCCACAGCCTGCATGATGACAGTGGCAGACTTGGCCTTTACCAGGGAGATAAATCGGATCCAAGACTGCCTGGTTCACCTTTGCCAAGTCTTCTGTCCAAATCTTCACCTCCAACACTGTGTGTCTTCAGAATGCTTGAGACTGATAGGATAGCTCCATGTCCACAAACTACAGTTTTGTTCAATTTCACAAGCAAACGCTGCATTGGACCAGTCATTGGACGCTGCTTCTTGAATCACCAAACTTGCCTTGCAAAAAGAACAAATAGACCAATCACTCAGTCCCCAACAACTCTGGACAGCTCACTTGGGCAATAGGTCCGGGCAAAGAAGGCCGCCTGCAAAGGAAAGAGGGACAACACATCCGGAGAGATGTGCAGAGCTTTGGTTTCCAGAACTGTATTGACACGTTGGTGCACTGATGTAAGCGCCTCGGGCAAGCGGCTGGCTTTGACGAGAACCTCCCACCCATGGCCCGCAAAAGCAAGGGTCCAACAGTCCAATAACATGCCTGCATTTGTGCTCAAGCCTCTAATGCTCGCTTGGTTTCACCCAGCAGCAAGTAGCATAGCACTGCAATGTTCCCAATGTTGCTTTCCTGGAAACAAGCATGTGGGAAACCCCAGTGTGCTGAGCAAGTGTGGCCACCGAGCGTTGACAGAAGAGACTTGAAGGAACGCTGGCACCTCTGCAAGCTTGCCAGTGTCCAGGACACCATCTGCATCGCCAACTGAAGTGTAGAGTAGAAAGAGAGCTCCAAGGTCCTGACAAAGCACTTACAGCAGTATCTGTCAAGGCCTGAACTCTTCCAGCAGTTAGCAAGAATGAGGCGTAAGGCCGTTAGTATGGATGCAGGAAAAGAAACAACTTGCAAACTGCAAGCAGGAGTTGGGAAACTGAAGGCTGATGAGCTGGAGATCAAGACCATTGTGAACACAACAAAGCATCAACCCGACGCACCCCAACACCTTTCAACTTCACATTCATGGCAAGCGTGCCAAACACTATTAACTACTATTAACCCTGCCCAACCCACCGGATGCTTCTTTGTTTGACATCATCATGATATAAATGAATCTCAGGTTCACTTCTGTCCCAACACAATGATGAGAGGTGTTTCGGGTTGACTGAAACAATCGAATTCGAACCTGAACAGCCTGAAAGTCTTCGCTTCACTCAAAAGGAAAGGGCCTTCGCTTCGCTGAAGCAACGCTTTGCCAAAGTGAAATCACCTGCAATGAGCTTTTGTTGGCTTCACAATACTTGTCTCCAACTTCAAGTCCATGCCAAACACTCGGCGCTGCAACATTCAAACAAACGAACCCGGCGCTGTCGATTTGCATTGCTAGTTCCTTGACTGCTACTGCCTTGCTCCAGTGCAACATCTCCCAAGTTCTTCCACTTGCCGCGGGGAGGCATTGCTGGGTTTGCCTGGCATGTTCAAGAATATCATCGGTAGTGTAAGAGAAAATGGCTTCGCGGCTTTACAGCCAGCAATTCTGTTTCAACTCCTCTAGAAATCACTCCATATTCTTCTGACGGCCGAAGCAAACAAAGTCAATCAGCATGTGCCCTGAAGGCTATTCAGAATGAAGGTCTGTGAATGTGCGTTGTTTTGTTTGGAATACAAAAAGCCCTTTGTTTGCCTTGGCTTTCTGTGCTTGGTTGCTTCTGCTCAGATGGCAACTAGCGCTTCCCAGAATGCTGGGGTTGCAAATGCAAACCTTTTATACAAGTCCACTAAGTAGCAGCTTCAGTCTTTTATTCTTGTGCAGTACCTCCTTTCTTTCCACAGTCAAGACTCCCCAAGCAACGTGTCGGTCTCAGCTTAGACCTCTTAGAAGGCTAAAACATCTCAAACAACGCAACATCATCTTCGCAATAGGCTGCAAGATAACAACACCGTATCAAAGATGAGGCGTGCAAAGCATGTGTGGCCATGGCCCGTAATTGCTTGTGGCATTCGTTGGCCTGCGCAGAGATGCTGACTATGATATCCGCGGCCATTTGCAGCTTGCCCAGCTGCGTCGCCAGCTCAAAGCGATGCTCATCGTCCTGGAAGGCCCCGCTCACAAAGACTGCACTTGATTTGGGTTGCAAGACACAATATTGGAGATTCCCGTTATGTCCATACAATTCTGGAGATTCCTATTGTGACCCGGCAATAGTCGCATGGAGTTCGCAGAACCTGCACAAGTGCAAGGCAAGGCCTTCGAGATCTGCAAAGCCTCCGCTTGGTAGCCCTGGTTCTCCAGAAACCGTGCAATGCGATTGTGCAATGACCTCAAAAAATGGATGTTGCATGTTGCTTTAGTCAGAAACTCCAAAAGTCATGAGTCCCTCTGAGTGCTCTGCTTGCTCTGCTCAATGCCCTGAGTGGTTTGGGCTTTTCTCGGCTGAGCTCCAGACTCGGGCAGTTGTGCAAAGAAGGTCTCCGCAGTTGGAAAGTCCTGCAATTTGCATCGTGTTTGGAGCAAGCGGTAGTGACATTGGTTCTAGGATAACGTTTTCGCTTTAGCAATAGTAGTAAGGGGTCAGTGACATTCAAGGCCTGGGGTGTATGAGACAGCTTTAGCGTATCTGTCGCGACAGTCTGGCTGTTAGTTCTTGTGAACAGCACATCCCCTCCTTGCGCATGATTGCGGACTGGTACTCTATCAAAGCCATGTGGAGGGTGAAAGGGGTTACCTGCAGCTTTAAGAAAAGAGGAGAATGTAGAGTTGGCTGAGTTTTGCAGTGCTGCTTTCAACATTCGATTGGCTGAATGATCGGCATTGAGCTCTTTGTCAATGAGATAAATCTTTGATTGCTCCGGCATGTAGCCCAGTAAGTACCTGGCTCAACCAACTGAGGAAGCATGGGATCAAAATGGGAAGATGGGATCCAATCTCAATTGCGAAACCTAGTTAGTTGTATCATTCAAGAGCACTGAACTCGGTCCAAATGTGCAAGGGTCTCCTGATCCACAAGCCCACGGACTTCCAGATTGCTCCAGGGATGCACAACGACACACATGCACTTGACCTGTCCTGTGAGCCGGCCACCAAACAGGTGAGGCGCTGGGCGTGAGAAATGTAGACCTTCGACAGCAACTTGGTACTTCTTTCAAATCACCCCCCCCCAAGTCTGTGATCCTAGTATAGGCATAGGTGTGTTGTAACATGTTGTGAGACTCTCAGGCTATGGCAAAGCAGTCTCCAACCCACAGGCCGCTTATCACCTGAAGGGTTGGAACTCCAAAAGTGAAAAACCACTGAAAGGCCAGGCCATGACCGGTCGCTCTCGCTTGTAATTGGAGAAGGGCCTTGTCACTGATCTCATTCTGTAAATCGAAGGCTGCTTCAATCCCGTCCTGGTACAGCTTTCTCTTTTAAAGCTCGGGGGGGTAGGGTGTAAGAGTAGGTGGTAGCTTACAAGTAAGTAAGCTAGTAGCTATTCAGTAGGCCGCTAACAGTATCTTGGACACAGGAGGGCTATTCAACTTAAAGAGCTCGATGTATGCTGATAGCAAAACCTCATAAGCAGGCGGACTGTTTTCTGAACAGGAAATACTCACATGTGTCATCTGTCCGTCTTTCTCAGAGATTCTCTTCGAAGCGGAAGGCCCAGTCAACCGCTGGCAACAACAATTCTGAGAGAATTGCGTCAAAATGTGCTGAAGGCAACAACTGTACACAAGCCATTGATTAAAATTATCAGCTTGACTTGGCCAAGCATCCTTCCTGCGTGGCTTGCCCACGAGCTGCAGAAATCTAAAACAAAGAACTAAGAACCTAAAAAACTCAAGGACTGGCAGCTTTAAATTGTTGCTCTGGCTCCGAAGCCAGGAGGATGTGCATCCTCCGGAGCAGCTTGTACAGGTGGGTGGGTCGATTCTGGTGCTTGCTCAAAGTGCTCGTTTTCTTGAGACACAAATGCCTTCAGCTCGCTCATGGCAGGTTTCGTTGGGACAGCAAAGTCCACCTTTTTCAAGTCATCTGCAGGCTTTGAAGCAAGCTGCTGTTGTCTGTTGGCTGTTGCTGCTCGTGACCGTTGCAGAAGCAACGCTGCAAAGTTTAGATTCAGCTTGGGTGAAGCTGCAGCGACTTTATGTACAAGCTGTGGAAGCTGAGATGGAGTTACTTTCGGTGGAACCACTGAAGATGGTCCAGTCTGATCCACATCCGGCACCACATCCAAGGACACAGTTGGAAAAGCTGTATCCGGAGGTGCAGCTGCAGCAGGCGCAGCTGCTGGAGGAGGAGCAGCAGCAGCGGAGACCTCTGCTTCTCCTTTATCCACTGCTGTGTCAGCGAAAAGGCTCTCCTGTTCAACCTGGGTCGCATTTTGCACGTCTGCTCCCTTTGGTGCCGGCGGCACCGGTGTGGGCTGAGTCAATTCTGGAGCAGCTGCAGCATCATCATCCTCTTTGGCTGGCGGTATTGGTGTTGGGTCACTAATGAAAACACAATCGGCTGCATCCACTTTTGGTGTTGGCTGCGTGCACCACGGAGTAACAATCGTTTCATACACAGCATTCGGCATGGGAAGTGGCTGTGACTCTGGTGGCGGAATTGGCACTTCAATCAGTGGAGTTGGGAAAGTGTCTGGCACAGGCTGCCTCTCCAGTACAGGTGGTTCGTAGATGAAAGGTGTAGGTTGACTCTCAGGACGGTGCTGACTTTCGGGCGGTTCCTCTTTGAGTCTCTTCAACATCAACTCTGTCTCCTCTTCAGACCTCTTTCGTTTCACATCATCGGATTCCCCTTTGACGTCCTTACTTGCATGTCCCAGAACGCCGCGTTCTGTCGGACCAACGCCAGGTGTCAAGTTTTTTTGCAGATCCTTCTGAGGTTCAGAATCTTTTCGAGCTCTGCAACAACAGCAGTGTCCACGGCCTCACAAGGCGCAAGCCCTCTCTACTTTATTTTGGCGACTGCTACAGTAGTTGTTCCACGTGTTTATGGGGACAGTCAATTAAATCCTGCCATGCTCCATGCAATACCGAGGTCAAATGAGACAGGATAACACAAGTCGGGTAGTGGATGTGCCTGTCTCAACGTGACAAGCCTTCAACCCAAATATTTGACGGGATCCGAACATGATGAGCTTCTGGGAGCAATCCCAATTTGGCACATAAACAGTATTCTTGATTACCCAACCAAATGAGAAGTCATTTCACAGAAGTACAGGCACAGGTAAAGCAAGTAGAAAGCAACATAGAAATCAATTTTCGCCCAAGCTGTGGCACCTTGCTCGACAGCTCCTTTTGTTCCCTCAACCTCGCAGCTTCTGAATATTGGCTTGGCCGGTGTCCGAGCATCTTGGCTGAGCTGAGATAGTCTATCTTGACGTCTCTCGCTTCTCTCATCCTGTGAGTTCTTTGGGTCAAAGCCAAAGCCTTGGGACTGGCTGAATGCAAAGCCTTGTGAGCGGATTTTTATCTCGCTCTTGGGCAAAGGGGCTTGAGGATCATCCAAGAGAAGCTTTAGGTGATTGGGTGGCAAAAACGCATCTCCTGACGATCTTGACGATTTGGCCATATCTTTCCTCTCCCTTGTCACTGACTTTGGAGATCTGAGAGGAATGCTTGCCATGCTGGTCTTGCGTTCAGCCTGACGACTTCTGGACCGCTCCGGAGCTTCAGAACGTCGCACTCTTTGGCTTGCTGCTTGCGAGGTGAGCATGCTTGGGGCTCGGCCGCCTAATCGAGCATAGCATTGGTTGCGCCACTCCAGGATCTTGTCTTTCGTCCAGCCTTGCTCAAACTTCATGTAGCAAGCTCTTGCTATAACTTCAGCTGCCCAACGGGAGTTTGCAGCAGCTGGCACAGTGGTCTGGAATGGAATTCGGCTGCCCCCGCTGCCAAGCCATTGAAAAGAAAAAACCTTCTTGGCAGCTTGATACTTTACCGCAGAGTGTGCAGGATGCCCTCGAGGGGCGTCTTCCGGCAAATCTTTCAGATGACTTTGGGTGTCTTTCTGCTTGGCGCCAGAGCTGTTGGTGACCGGCGGACTTCCATAAAATTGGGTCCAGCAATCCAGGCAGTATGAGCCACCATCGTTGAGGTCTTTGAAGATCGTTGCTCTCACCCCACAATCCTCGCAGATCCCATCTGCCATCTGTTAGACATGACTGTTAAAAAGCTGCAAAGCAAGTCAAAGCCCAAACAGCTGCAGGGTACTTTGCAATAGATTGCAATAGCAAAGTGATTTTTAATACTGGCTGATTGACTGTGCACTGTTGTGCATCCTCATCCTGAGAGTGTCACCCAGCTTCATGCAACAACTGCGACCTTCTACTGTACTGCAAGCATCCTGCCTCGTCCACTGCAACACCAGAGACCAGCGCTGCTTGGACGGCCTCCTTGTCGTGCCTCCCGCAAACGACGTATGCAAGGACAAATTTGAACCGAGACGAGGGAAGAGGCCTCAGCACATAGAAGGAGTCTGGGCACATGAGCACCACATTGTTCCCATCTTCAGACCTTCCGAACTTACAGCAGCTCACAATAAGCTACTAGGAACAAGTGCATCGCTACTGGTAACAAGTGCCTTACTAGTAGTAACAAGAAGCTAGCAGCTAGTAGAAACAATATATAAATTAGAAACAATAAGCTTCGAGACAAACACCGCACAATATTCAAGAAGCTGCTTTGTTACACTGCTTGCTGCAGTAAGTAGGGAGCCAAATAACGTCTTTGGGCACCACATCAATGCGGCGAACCAGGCGGTACCTGAAAACGACCGATGTTGAGACTTCAGATTTCAGACCGAATTGGATCTGTCTCAGCTGCGTGCTCGGTCCAGTCGTAAAAGCAAATAAAGTCACCACCGCGGATTCCTAGCAGACGGCCTCAGAATCCATGGTCCATCGCCAGGATCTGTAGACGGCTTAGCCGTGCATTGAAACAGAGTTCTTATTTTGAAGCACAACAGGTTGATTTGCTTGTTCTTGTTTCAGATTAACGGTTCACACTCAGCTTGAGCTCAGCCTTCAAACACCGGGTCGCCTCCAAAAATCTCCTCGACATTGAATTGAGGCTTGAAGGAAAAGCTCTCCTTGAAGTCCTTTCGCAAGCTCGCAGAAGCTCAGTTGCTCCTATTAACTGGCTACAACACATGCTTTTGTCAAAGTCACCTGGCCTGGAAGACCGTGATCTTTCCGTTGCTGTCTCGAGTGGCATAGGCACCGGAGTGGGCCCAAACAAACTGAGCAGGCGCCGGGAAAGCAAAGCTACTATGTGTTCAACCTATTGAATGGGTGTGTTTTTGTCCATCTGTCGTTCTGGATAACTTCTGAAGAATACATGCTCTGATGCGCCTCCAGGGCAGGTCCGTACGACTTATTTCGCAGAGCCTGCACAAGAAAAGCACTAGATTGGGGCACATTTGTCACATTGAACACAACTGGTCATAAGCTGCCAATCGATCACTCTCAGAAATGAGATATCGCAGCTATATATATATATGTAATGAAATATATAAGCATGTTGGAACCTGAGCCGTGTAGATGACAAACTCACCGTCGCCGCACACTGCAAACAGTCGGCCTAGAAGAACGCGGCGAGAGGTGAATTCCAACACTTCCAGATTTCATTGATTCAAAGGGCATCGGCAATAGGAGCAAGGGCGCTACTAGGGGCTCCTGGCCTTACTACTGGGAACAAGGACGCTACTAGGAACAAAGGGCATCGCTACTAGGAGCAAGGACGCTACTAGGGGCTTTCATTGATTCCACCCAACTAGTTCATGGCCGCGTGCCATTGGGATGGTGGGCGATGTACTGGGGGAAGACCTCTGCTGCACCCATGTCCTGCATCCAGCAATGACAAGTGTGCTGCACTACACCACTCTCGTTACTCTTCATGACAAAAACATCATTTATGTATGCATTTATGTGCATTCTATGTTTTAAAAATATATATATATATACAACCCCCTGCTCCTTCACGCTGAGGGGAACTTTCTCACCCTCTCGTGCTGTGACACCCTCATCCAGGAGCTTCAGGTTTGCGGTCTGAATCTCGTTGCCTTTGGCCTAGCACAATCATTAATTGCATCTGGCCTTGGGGGGAGTCTCACTTCGCCAAATCAAGACAGCATCACCCAGATGATCTTACCAGAGTGCATCGATGCAACAGGTTCCTGCGCAGCGCAATGTCTTACCAGCGAGAACGTAATGCAGCCAAAGCACAACGCACGCACCTCACTTCCCAATTTGATGACTACTGTACCCTCATCATAACCAAGAGCTGCCTCAGCAATTGAAGCTGCAAAGGATGTCCAGTTAACGGAATGCCTATCAGTCCAGAATACGCTGAAATAGCAGTGAGCGTGCACTATTTTATCCGTGGACTATTCTATCGTGTTGCAGCTCCACAATGGAGCGGTGCTGAAGGAAGCACTATGTGCAGTCTTACAGGCGATTACTGACTCACGCCACAAGCATGATGCCTCCCCACATGTGTTTGTCTGAAGCGAAGCCAAAGAAAAGGACAGAGAGGCATGATTGCTCGAAGCTTTCTGAGGACTGAAAGAATCCATCATCTCATCATCCCACTCTACGGCTGCTGCTGTGTTGGATCCTTTGAGCACTGCAATAGACCACACGCGCTCCAGAAAATAGCTAAGTGTCGCCTTGTCAAACACAAGAACTTCAAACTCTGACGGTTTCATTCAGCTTCACTTTGGTCAGCCTCCAGTCGGTATGTGGAACCATGCCATATTCTGACAGTTCCATCCTGCCGCTCAAGAACAGTTTACAATGGTCACGGCTCACAGGTCTGCAGGTTCGTGGTATTGACTTCAACCAGTAAAACGAGCCACTACAATGGCAATGAATGCATTCCTTCAAGGAATAAATGCGGAAAAACTCAGAATCCCAGACTTCTCTTGATCCCCAGCCTCACTACCCGTCAAAATGATGGGCAAGGCAGGGTGGAAAAGCGCCTCGTAGATGACAACATGCTGTCAGCACTTGAGGTGAGTGTAACGTAGGCTAAAGGTTTGAAACATACACCACACTGCGTCTGTTGTCTTTCTATTCAAGCCAAGGTGCATATGAGACATTGTTGGTGTGGCCGCTCAAGGTCTGTATGCACCTGATCTGTCCCGAATCACCACAGCTCCACTTGGAACAAGTCAAGTTGCTGCATTGACACATTCTTTTCCATGTCATCTTGAAAAGGATTGAAACCCTGGGCACTGCTTCGTTTGGTAGTCCCAGATCTTGACAGTTCTGTCGTCGGACCTCGGTTGCAAAATCACAGTACAACTGCGGTAGACATGTTTGTCTTCTGTGGTCACTACCCAGAGATAATGTATGGTTTCTCACCACCCGGAGAGTACCTTAGTTTTTTTTGCATGTACAGGCCTTTGAACATGCAATGCCAAAAGTTTTCCACAAGTGTTTCGCATTGTGCAATTCATCACGGTTTGAGTCAGTATGTATCAGAAGACAAAAATCAAGGCAGGATCCACGCCAGCAACCAAACGCACGTCAAAATGGGCTGCGACAGACCAAGGCACTCCACACAATTCACTCCGCGCTGATGTCCAGTCAATGTAAAGTGGCAACTGCTTGAACCACCTGAAAAATGAAAAACAAAATCAAGATGGAACCCATGAACCCGAATGCACACGCATATGCAAAAATAGGCGACCAAATGTTCTCACACCCTTCTTTGACACCCTTCAAGAAAACAAGAACAAGGTGAGCCCGCGGACCCAAAAGCACAAAGAAGCGCAGGAAAATAGAAAAACACACATTAGCAGGCCAAAACGAAGCATCAGCCCCCTCCAGGCTTCATGGCAACCATGATATTTCAAGCATTGCGGTTCGGGCGCGCATCCGTCCACCCCCGTCTGCCATATACACCCCGGTCCACCCTTTGGTCAGTTTTGAAAGCCCTCCAAAATGGTCATAAAACGATTGCAACATGGCTTCTAACAACCCTTCCAGGAAACGTGGAGCAGCATCAGCTCCCTCCATGCTTCGTTCATCTTCGTTCCAACCATGAAATTTGAAGCGTTGCGGTTCTGGCATGCAACCATCCTGCCGTTTCTGCAATGACTTGGGCTGTCTTCGGCATACATTGCACACATTCTTGACACCCAAGACCATCATATAGGCCGCGCCAGACAGTTCCACTCGCGCAATAACGTTCTTCCGCGAGGTAGCATTAGCCCCCCCATGCTTCGTTCTACTTAGCATCCCGTACGCCCGTCCACCCTCCCATCTCCATCCATAGCCCACGAAAAATCTCGCTCTGCCCCCCCCACTAACGACTAAACTAAACGAGAACCCAAGCATCGGGAATTCTTTTCAGAAAAGCACGCGCATGCGTACTGCTGCGCCAGCGTTACAGTGCATCACACGCGGTAAAATGCTTTCGGGTCATTCGTCGTCCAGTTTAACTTTTTGGCATAGATTTCCGGCGGCGTGCGTCGTTGGCATGATCAGGGCGTCGATAGGGCGGAGATATCCCAGGAGGAGAGGATTTGTCGTTTGCTTTTCTCGAACAAATCTTTGCGGGCTTCGATCTTAAGAATTTACACCGGCATAGACCCTAGATAGAAATATCTCTGCAAGAGAAAACAATACGGTTTCCTTTTTAGTTGTACTATATATATATATATATATGTACATCAGGTGGCTGTTTTCAATCTCTGCAGCTAGTCTCCAACCCCATTGCAACCTGACTTCTGACAACCGATCCAGGAAGCATGGAGCAGCATCAGCCCCCTCCATGCTTCGTTCCAATCATCAAATTTCAAGCATTGCGGTTCTGGCATGCAACAATCCTGCCGTTTCGGCCATGACTTGGCTGTCTGGCGCATGCATTGCGCACATTTTGGACACCCAAGACCATCATATAAGCCCTGCAACACAGCTCCCCTCGCGTCAGAACGTGCTTCCGCGAAGCATGGAGCAGAACTACCCCCGCCCATGCTTCGTTCTACTTGTGAACTGACCCGGGGCAGCCTGCAATGATGCTTGTGGCGCAACCGTATCCTCGTAACTAGCATATCAGCCGCGCAAGATCACTCCACTCGTACAACGACATTCTGCCGTGAAGCATGGAGCAGCGTTGGCCCCCTCCATGCTTCGTTCCACTTAGCACCTTCCCTCCATCTTCCTTCCACCATGCACCTCCCGTCTCGCACCCCTCCCTCTTCCATCCCCAGCCCCGTGCACACCCACACCTCCCGCCTCGCGCCCCTCCCTTCCTTCCCCACCCCGCTCCTCAAGTGTGTGCGCCCCCGCCCCCCCCCCTCCCGCCCCCCCCCCTCTTCACTCCCCAGCCCCACACCCATGCACCTCCTCCTCCCTTCTTTCCCCAGCCCCGTCCACACCCATGCACCTCCCGTCTCGCTCCCCTCCTTCCTTCCCCAGCCTCGTCCACTCCCGTCTCGCCCCCCTTTCCTTCCATCCACAGCCATGCACCTCCCACACCCATCTCGCTCCCCTCCCTTCCTCCCCAGCCCCGCTTGCTACTGAGCAATGGCACCGTTGCAATTTCACCAGCAAGTCGTGTGTTTGCCACTCAGTGTTGCTTTCAAAGTGTGAACTTCTTCAATGCGCCACACGAGCATCCCAGCACGGCAATACGTCCGAACAACACATGTCATCTGCCCACATAGTATATGCGCAAGCACGACAACGCCACCGCAAGTCCCAGCGAACCTGCTTCGGAACCCGCTTGCATTATGAGCATGTTGGCGTAGCATGCCAGCGTGACAACATGTCAGCGTGACACCGAGCAAGCACATCGAAGAAATTCAGCGTATCCGTATCGGCGTGGCAGTGGCAACCCATCACGCGCCAAAGAGACACAGCGTCTCTGCAAAGCGCTCCGGAAATTGTTGCTGCTCCGCAACCTGCTTTGGAACCTGCTCCAGACTCCGAGTGCTTCCGAACTTGTTCCGGAACTTGCTTCCGGCCCTGCCCCAAAACTTGCCTCCGGCACTTGCTCGGGGACCTGGGTTGAAAATTGCTCGGGAACTTGCTCCGGAACCTGCTGCTCCGGAACTTGCTCCGGGACCTGCTCCGGAACTTGCTCTGGAACTTGCTCTGAACCTGCTCCAGAACCTCTCCCGGCGCTTGCTCAAGAACCTGCTCCGCAACCTGCTCCGGAACTTTCTCTGGAACCTGCTCCGGAACCTCTTCCGTAATTTGCTCGAGAACCTGCTCCGCCGGGGCTTGCTCTGGGGAACCTGCTCCCGATCTGCCCCGAAATCTTTACTATGGCTGAAGGCCCCTGAGCTTTGCTGCTGGACACTGTTGAAGGACATTCTCAGGTGACATCTTGTAGGACACTCTTGTAGGGCGCATTTGTGCCACACTTTTGCTTAACACTCTTTTGGGACACTCTTGCACCACACACATGTTGGACGCTCGTGTGCGACGCTCTTGCTGGAGACTCTGTTGTGCGACAGAAACCCTTCTAGGGGTCTCTTGCGGAAATCTCTTCTAGGACTCTCTTGTGGGACACTCTTGACGGACATTCTTCTGGCGAGGTTTCGTACAGCGCAAGGCTTAAAATCGAGCGTTTCTTGCGCTACTTTCTTCAATAGTGATGCTTTCAGTCTTCAAGTGAACACGTCGCGCGAGATTTTCTCCAAGAGCAGTGCGTCAAGCCCTCAAGGCGAGCATTTCCTACGAGACGTGCTCCAAAAGTGCAGCGGGAAGGCTCGACAGCGAGCACATCACGTAGTCGCAGCCCTGCGAAGCAGTTTTGCAATCGAAGCTCCTCGAAAGAGCAGCAGCTGACATGACAATCCCAGTCGCACCCAGATCCCTGCAAGTCGCAGCCGAGGCGATCAAGAGCAATGGGACAGCAACGCGAAGTACTGACTTCACGAAACACTGCACCTGCGCAGCAGAATCATCCTTCACACTCTGACACTTCATGCTTCCATCAAAGACCTCCTCCAAATGCGTTCCACAATGGGAGAGCCTTATCGATCACATAGGCCGCAAACAGTTGCGAAGGTCGCGCGAGCAACGTCGCGCGAACAACGCTCTACCCTCAGACTAACTGTGTTCCACAACGCTCTACGGTGCGAACCCTTTGCTGTGTTCCACAGCCCACCTGCTCCACCTGAAACTCCCCAAACCTTGATGGAGCGATCCAGGGAGCACGAGCAAAAAATGTTTGTATCCTGTAGCACGAGACACAGAAAACAAGAAATGCCACAAGAAATATTTAGAGTGTCAATTCCTTTAAATTGCTGCAAGATCAAATCTTGCGCCGTCCGCATGTTCGGATCCTTCGGGTTCCATTGGCACATCATCACATAGTGCGCATGGCTCTCAAAAACCTCATCAACTTCACTTGCCAAAAAAGAACAAAACGTAGCTCGAGCATCTTGTCTTGTCTTATCATTTGAGTGCCAACGACAAAAGTTGCACGCAAAAATCCTGGCCTGAAGGTTCTGCCAGTTCTTGTCCCAATCCCACAGCCTCAGTCATTCGGTCCTGCTCAAAACAGTAACGGCATGTAACGGCTTTTGAGCTGTGCTTGTGACCAGGGGTGGTTAGTTTGTTGAGTACAAGCAAGCAGACCACAGGGAGTGAAACTTACACAGAACCACGATACTCCCTTCAACAGAAGAGCTTTCATCACTCATAAGAGCAAAAAGCAATCATACAAAGTTGACTTCCTGAGGTGTCTGCTTGATGGACATGTCGTCTGATGAGGACAGGAGGTAAGGCAAAGTGGGATGGATGGCGATGTACCGGATGTAGTCTGTGTGAGCCTCGCATGTTCATCAACAGCTTCCAAGGGGAACAAGAAGCTTCTTCTAACTCAACCCTGCCTCAAACTCATGTGCTTTTTCCAAGCTGTTGTAGTTGAAGACTCGAATCTGAGCAAGAGCTCTTTGTTTGGAATCAATGAGCGAGCTGGCTCAAAGTTGTAAGCACCGGACATGCATGTCATCGGAGGCAGTCGCGATCCACTGTTTGCGAGTGACGAACTTTGCACACCGCACTGGCAAATTGCAAACCTGCATTTTGAAGAGATCAAAAATGATTGGAAAACATAAAAACAACATCCCTGTAGCATGTGAAGTACTGGAGGCATTCGTCAATTGAGAAATCTTCCCTGCAAATAGCTCACCAAAGAAGGCACTGTCCAACCTCGAATTGCTTCACTAGAGTCTGGGTGTTGTAATCCCAAATGAAGATGTTGCCTGCATCACGTGGATTTGCATAATTTAGAATCCCCTACAACCGCAGCATTGTCTTTCTTTGGTTTTTTAGCGTTGTCCTGGTTTCTCAAATTCTGGTCTGTTCAAAACAAAATCAATTGAACATGGCTGTTTCACCTGAAGAAAACAGGAAAAGGCAGGGCTCTGGGGTGTCTTGGTCAGGCCGCATGGCATCATTGACAATAGCTCACAACATCCGTGCCTGAGTACAGAGCTGACAAAGTCCATGGCTCTGTAGGATGAAAGTCAACGCACTTCACTCGGTCGCTCCTCCAAATCAGAAGCATGTTTTGAGATGTAACTAATAGCTTCTTGCTACTAGTAGTATTGCCCTTGTTACTAGTAGCGATGCTTGCTACTAATAACCAATAGTTAATAGTCAATAGGAATGCCCTTTGTTGGAAAACGAAGCTCTAGAATTGTGAAGCCAAAGGCCTCGCAGAAAGCTTCTTCTTGATGTCTAGTCGGAGCGGCATCCTGAGGCAATGGGCTTAGTTAAAAACCCATGACAACTGACGAAACAAAAAATCCAAGAAATCACAGAAAATAACATCGGTCAACTTATGTTGTTTCCAAAAGCTTTGCTACGAAAGCTGCTGGCTTTCTGGCACTGCTGAGCCTTAGCTACAAAGTTTGTCCAGGAAACCGCCTCTGTATATATATATATGTATATCTATATCTATATCTATACATATGTGCGCTTTGAACAAATGTCTGCCAACAAAAACAACAAGCTAAGTTAAGCAAATTGAACATAACAAATCTTATGGTAGAACTCCTGTATGTTGGCACGTGAACTCTCGGTGCCCAACTCGCCAGCCGCAGGGAGCTCGGCCGAAAAGAGGCAGAGCCGCAGCCAGCTCTTTCAAAGCTTTAGCCAAAAAACATGCAACACGGGAGTCTTGGAAGCTTTCTCCATGAAAACATACTTCCAGTTGTGAAGGTAAAGTCTTGTGTAGAATGCACACATTCAAAACAAGTCTGAATCCGAACAAAACACATGAGTCGACTTGCCTTTGGAGGAACAGCCTTCCTGGCATACAAAGACAGAATGTACTTCCTGTCACACACCTTCTCTGAGAAAAGAGCTATGGGGACAAACTCGAAGATTCCAAATCAAGAGAGTGGTTGCACAAAGCGAGACAGTGCTGCACAAGGCCGGGGACCTTTGGCTGCGCCTGGCCAGGGGCTTCTACCCGATTCTACCCCTACTACTTCTGAGCATTGTCCACATTCTCAGGCTGCGCCAGCTGCGCAACCCTTCAGTTGTAAAGGCTTCCTCTTTTCCCTTGCGTGCAAGGATGCTAGCGCGCCAGGGCTGGCTCTCGCTCACTTCAGCTCATCAATCGCAGACCAGTAGGAAAGCTCTTCAGGCAGCCAACTCTGTCTTGTGATCTTCGAGTCCTTCCCTTTTTGCCATGCTCCTTGGATGGTCGCAAAAATAAAGGGCTCGCAAAAGAGGAGCCAGTCTTGAAGGCTAGGGCGGCATTGCTGCATTCCAATGGACTTCTTGGTGATCTCAACAGCGGGTACCTTTTGGTGCAGATTTCTGACAGTATCAGCACCACAAGGTTGCATGTCTGAATGGATTATCCTCTGGTCTGGGCGCACACGCGACCGAGACCGTCTTCAGCTCACTTTCTGGTGCCACCCTGGCCAGGAGCTTTTGGACACTGGTGTCATTCTGCAACGCAAGCACATGCTGGGGGACCAAGACTGGTGGCACATAGCCAGGGCCCAGGGCTCCAACCTTATTGTGTATGTGTGGATGCTAAGACGATCGAAAGAATGTTAAGAATGAACTGCTTGCAGCAGTGAGAAGGCGTCCTAGCAAGTAAGTAGCGGCCTACTTAATAGTTACTAGCTTCTTGCCCCTTACTGTACATACTTAGCTTACTTTCTAGCTCGTATCAAACCCTACCCGCCCCCCTAAAGAGAAAACTAAAGTAACTAAAGAGAAAAGCAAAGAGTTTTTGCTGCTTCAAAGTGCGTAAGGCATTTCAGGGTCAAAGAAAGGCTTAGCCTCTGGCCAAGCTCTTGCCAGCTGGAGCTAGTGTCGTCACCTTTGGGGTAGCTGCTTCTACGTCACCTGCTGTTCTGAGCAATTCAAATCGTCGTAGATGAACAGATTGAACGGAGAGACGGAGAGGTGTTGTGGCAAAGCCTTTTTTGCTCTGGCATGAATCGGGTGAGCAAGAATGGTGAATTCACCAATATGTCCAATGACATTACTATGATGATTCAGGAGCATCGACAGAAGACCTGAGGATAACATTGTGCAAGAACCACCAGAAGGTAAAGCAATACAGCAGGCATGGCACTTGCGAAATGGTACAGCATCACATTTGCAGCTACGTCGCTTGTCATTGTCATACCTGGCAATGCTTTGATTGATTGTCCACCACATGCCTCCAGCAATGACCAAAAGAATTCCAACCTTGGTTGCCATGGATAACAAAAGGACTCGTAGAGCTTCAGATACATGAAAATACTGTATACTCGCATAAAATACATGTATACATATAAATATATATACATATTTATATGTATATTAACACCGATATACTGCCAATCTTTGCTTTCAAGCAACAAAGGCCAAAGGCCTCTGAAAGTCGCTGTCATTGAAGAAGAAAATGCCTTGGTGGTACATTGTAGCTCCCTACACTTGCGCTTCGTCCAACCCTTTTTCGCACGCAAAAATGATGGCTTCTGCTGAGGCACCTTGAATAACACTGAAGCCACTGGACACGTTCTGGATGACCATGGTGGCGGTCGCAGTGTCATTCTTCACCAGGTGGAGTGTTGCCCAATGGCCAACGCTGAAAGTAAAGAATGAAAGCACGAGCATCATGAAAATTGAAGGATCATTCAACCATAATTTCACGGATTCCTGCAGGTTTTCGAGCTCCATGTTGCTCATGATACCCGAAAGTCCCAGACTGATGACGGCGTCGGCCATGGTCAACAGCGCGATGGGGGACTCTTTTGTGCGATCCAGCAAGAACCGTTGCGTAAGTCTGTATGCCACCATGGTCGAGACGAACAAGGTGGAGACCTCCATCCCCAATGTATTGAAATCTGGATATTGCAATGCAAAGATCGTGGCTCCAAAGACCTTCAGAGACAAAGCGGCCTTCGAGGCAAAGCTGGTGAAGGCCGATTCAGAACCTCTTTTGGCCAAGCATGGTGCCATGGCCACTTCTAGGATCAATCCGAAGACTGGGGCTAAATTCCCGAAGACTGTCCTTTCGGACAATGAGCAATAATTTGCCTCCAAATGGTCTGCCAATTGAAACACACCTCGGCAACTTCAGACAGGCATGGAAGGCGTGGCCGTCGAACCCTATGTGTAGAAACACCCCCAGCTTGGTTGAGTTTCGAGGCGTGTTGCCAAAGTTGACCTTTATATAAAAGATTTCAAAAGAAACGCGTCCAATCCTTTCAGAGTGTCCAAAAGCCACTGCAGCAGGAAGCCACAGTAGGAGCTCATTGCACAACACTCTCAAAGGCGGCCTCACGCATATGATGCAGTGTAGGAGAAATCTAACTGTTCCTGCTCGAAGCCACACTAGACAAACTGTAGCCTATCTGAAGCTATAATTCTACAGACCAGCCGGCCTTGCATGAGTACTGAAGTGCACCCCTGTAATGCCAATGCCGAAAAAGAGCCTGGGCTTCAAAATGTCTTGAGCAGAGAATACAATACGCAACCCAAAACTCAATAATGCCATAGCTCCGCCATCTGTGTCAAGTACGCACATGTCGGGTTGATGTGGCATTTGGGGTGAATCTGCAAGGGTAAAACACCACGTGTCTAAACTAAGTAACCGTGCTTACCAAAATGTATACAGCGGATACTTCTGATGTTCTCTGGGAAGCATTGAGAAGCACTGCATGGCCGTCAAGGTCATCGGTGCTTTCATCAGCACCGACAGGGACTGATTCACCAAGACCGTGCCCAAGTTCAGAGCAGCCACAGTGATCCTCAGGAATCGATTTCAGCAGTTCAGTAACTACTCTCAAAAAGCGGTGGCTGGACAATCTCCACACTCGTGTATACATAGCAAAATTTTAACAGCAGCTATGTGCCACATGGATGGATGTCGTGAATGAGACAATTGCGAAATAGGCAAGATTTATCTGACCAGCCGGATCCAGCCGGTGATAGCAAGGAGGGACATGGAAAAAACGATGAAAGCAGGAGCACGGGACGATTGAAAGGGACAGCAAATGAGTAGAGGAAACAAGAGGACAAGAATGAAGAAGAAAACTGCAATCAGCACATGTCAATAACAAACTTGTTGCTCTTAACTCTCAAAACGTGAGGCGTACACTGCTAGCTGGCAAAACGAATTGCATTGGCATTGCCCCGGGGGAACAAAAGTATGGAAGAATTGCACTCTCAGGCTCTGCAAAATGAGCAAAAAGAGCCTATCATGCTGAGCGCCACGGCTGCCTGCATGACACCCATGTAGCTTTGGCTCATCGACCCTGCTTTGACAATCTGCAACTGAAGTTACTCAAGGCCGGGAGGCGAAAGTTTCGCCAATTCTCGACATTCAGAGACCACTGCAGCACAGGCAAACACCGGCTGTTTTGCTTTGTTTCCTTTACAACCAAAGGCCTGCGTAGAGGTAGTACAGCCATGCCATTGAGAGCGGCAAATACAGGCAAATAAAAATCTTGATGACATCTTTCCTTGACTGCATGCATTGCACTTGGCCTTCCAAAATTTGGCCCAGCACAAAAACTCAGCCAAGTTACGGTTGCGCAATTCGCACGGTTACATCAAGTCCAGTTTCCTTGGGGCTGTTGTGTGGCTTGTTTCCAACTTCTAGGACATATGCAGTGACCTTTTTTGCTTGTAGTGGCAATTTCGCAGCCCATCTTCCACATGATTTGCCAAGTTGCATTGTCATTGGTGTACTTCGCATGTGCAAAGATGGTGTGCTCTTCCTGCTGTGCGGGATTTCTTTGACCTATATGTGTGGCGCTCTCCAAAGGAAAGCCAAGCATGCCCATGGAACAATTCACTCAATCTTTTCTGAGGACCGCATTTTTTACGCACTTCGCGATTCGGACGATTCTGACGATCGAGCAAGCAAAGGGCTTGCCTAACACCTCTATCCACAACTCTAAGGAGGCTCCTGAGTTTGATTGCCTGCAGGTGCTGTCATTCCTGATGCATTTCCTGGGAAAATGTTCAGTTGAACAGAATGCCAACATCCGCTCCCTTGCCCGAAAACTGGGATTCGAAGGCTCAATTCTCAAAAAGGGACATCGGATCGTCAAGGAAAAAATGTAAAGAATCAAGATCTATCTATATATATATATATAGAGATTGATGACTTAAACTATCTTAAACTCCTGCGTTTATCAGTGTCACTTCCAGTGAGTTCATCACTTTCTTTGCAGTGCTGAGGATCCGCTTGTCTCTCCTTGAGCAGCATTGAGATGAATCAATGGTGCAATGCTGAACGGTGCATTTTGAACATAGCAGCTACGTCCAAGTCGCGGGGAATGATGCTCTTGCTCTTGCTTACTTTGGATACAATTGCCTTTTCCTCGGCTTTGGGTGGGTGTGTGCGAGGATCCAGCCAAAAGAAACCCCATTCGAGCTAGATGCATGACAGGTCGCAATCTTCTTCACTTCCTCACCCCCAGTTCCATTTGATGCATTTGCAAGTGATGCATTTGAAGCAGAAGTATTTCCTGCAGGCCTCAATGAAACTTCCAAGCAACAAACAAAGGCATGGACGTCTCTAAAGTTTTGCAAAGAGTGCCCCCAACTACACAATCATATTTGTCCGTCTCAGCTTTAAAGTCGATATCTTTATCGGATGTGAATTTTGCCAGCCATTTGGTGGGAAACTCGAAGGTGTCCACCGTGTCAAATTCTTGGTTCTTGCCTAGTTTCTCTTGCATTCTTTGTTCGTCCTTCGCTTGTGTTCAACTTAAATTAGCCATTACAACCAGTGGCGTAGGAATCCTCAAGTGGGCCACTGTCTGCATCAGAACGAGTGCTTGGTGAGATTGGCTTGCATTCTCCTCAGAGCAGGCCAAGGACTCTGTTATAAGCAATTTGAATGCTGACTGAAATTGACCATCTCACCCAAGGCTCTGAATCAAAGGGATAAACTGCACAGGTGCCTATTCTTGGGCCACAATCAGGAGTAGCTCCATTTAGCAGCCCCAGCAGAAAGTACACGTGCCCGATGCGACCTGAGCCAGTCCATTAGCTGAGTGCACAATTATATGAATAGTTGATCTTTAAAAAAAAGTAAAGCCCCCTGTATTGAAAGGCCCTACCCTCTTTTTCCCAAATGCGTAGCACGTGTTCCCGTTTCATTTGGGTGTCCAGGAGTATAAGACTGTGTTCGCTCGACGTGGCGCAACCGCCCGCAACTGTTAGGAGTAATTCGCTTTGGTTGTGGATGGAAGCATGAAGTGTCGGATTCATGTGAAATAGCGTGGAAACGCAACATGTTGAAGTGTGGAGGATGATTTTGCTGCACAGGTGCAAAGTTCTATGGAGTCCTTACTGTAGTTGCCTTTGCTGTGAAAGGGATTGGCGTTCGCAGGGTGGTCTGTTGGAGGTGTTGCTGTGAGAGTGGGATTTGAGTTTAAGGCTGTTGCCTCGAAGCTGTCTATTCGTGAGAGTCTCAACTAAAATTTCGATTTTGGTTAAGACATGCAGGTGTCACGCCGTCACTTTTCGTGGCAGGCGCAGAACTTTGTGCATGTTGGTGGTGTCGAAGTTGGGTTTTCGTGGCAGGCGCAGGAAATCGTGAGGTTGCGACGTTTGGAAGGGTGTGGCTTGGAGGGGCTGATGAGACTTCCCACATCACTTCTTTGAGGTGTGACTTTGAAGGAAGCAACAGTCTCCCACCACAGTGTCCTACAAGAGTGTCCCTCAAGAGTGTCCGACAAGAGGAGTTTTCCACAAGAGCATTCCACAAGAGTGTCCCATAAGAGATTTCCACAAGAGTGTCCCATAAGATTGTCTTACAAGAGTGTCCTACAAGAGTGTCCCACCAGAGTGCCTCCTTGAGGCCAGGCGGGGTGAACGAAAGCTAGCCACTGCGAAGCGAGAGCGGCTCCAACTAGCTGAGGCTAGCTTTCAGGATCACCTGGTGAGGAGGTAAGGCAATCTCATGACTCATGATTAGTTGATGATGAAGATGATGAGGATGATGAGTAAGAGGCACCGTGGCTGGGAACGGGGACGGGGTGAAGGAAGCAATGGTACGGGGTGGGGCTATGCATCTTCTGGGGCGGTAGGCATGAGAAGAACCAAGGGGAAACTTACCATAGAGTTTGGCAGCAGCAGAGCACCAAGCAACAGCAGCAGCAGACCACCCAGCAGCAGCAGCAGACCACCCAGCAGCAGCAGCAGCAGCAGCAGCAGACCACCCAGCGGCGGCAGCAGCAGCAGAAGACCACCCAGCAGCAGCAGCAGCAGCAGCAGCAGACCACCTGTCACACTCACCCACTTACCCGTCCGCAGGGCGGAGTTGAACCCGCGGAGGGGGGGCCATTGATTTAATCAATTATTTCAGGTTTCCGAGGCGCCGTCCACCCCGTCATTTTACTTGCTAAAGCAAATGCAACTCCAGCTAGCTGAGGCTACCTTTCGTGACAAGATTGTCTTACAAGAGTGTCCCACAAGAGTGTCAATTTGGCCGTTTGTTTTCAAGTGCGTGTGTGCAATCGGGTTGGTGGTTTCCATCTTGTTTACCTCTCCATTTTTAGGTCAATTGCATCTCTGTCTAGGGATATGTCATTTGTCGCAAAAGTGCACGCATGTGATATTACGTCTCTCTCCAGTTCCATCAAGCAGCTCATCCACGGGCACAGCAGAGCTCAGGCCACTAGCAGCCTTGCAAAAACGAAGTGCACGGATGCGCCAACACTGTGAAGGCAAGGACTGCACAGAGGTGCTTGCCAAGCAACCCATCTACGAGAGGCAAGTCAGGAAACAGTATGCTGGGTCCAGTATCGATATGTACAGATTGAGCTTGAGCCGCTGCCAAGGTCAAGGCGGCGACGTGTTATAGGCACTACAGGGTTGGTTGAGACTATCCTGGTCCTAGCCATCACAATGCTGCCAAAACAAAACAGCGCACGAACCAAATATGTAACCAGCCAGTCCCTGCCTTCTGGCAAGCGTGGCCTTCTCTTTAGCAAACCCTTGAATCTTTGAAGCCTGTGTCTCTGCAAAAAGTTCAATGGCAAAGGTTTGGGATTTGCAAGCCTGATGCCAAAAAAAACACAAAATGTGTGTTTGTTAGTTGCGTACTGATTGTGTTTCTGTAACTTCTGCAACTAAGCAGCAACAATGGCGGCTTGAATGCTTCGTCATTGGCAGCATTGTCCACTTCAACATGTCCCACTTCAGCATTGGCCGTGCCAGCTTTTGCCGCGTCTGCGCAAAACACACAAGCATCTCCTCATCGACAAACATCTCGTGTATTAGTAAAGTCTAGATGAAGTTTGTCAGGAAAGCAACACACCACACGAGCTGTACAAGAGAATTGTGGATGGAACACATGTAATGTGGGGTTGACAATGTCTGAGTGTGGTTGAGGTTCCCCTTTCATGCGTGCCATTTTGCCTCAAGTGAGTCGGACCGCAAGCGGGCCATGGGCACGGAAGTCGCGGTCTACGCTTTGCCGGAGAACACCTCGGGAATCGAATTCCTGGTGTGGCTCCTCGGCGGAGTGTGGATTGGGACTCTGGTCGTTGGCTTCGTGCTGGGCTGGGTGTGTTGTCGGACACCTACTCGGACCAGTGCGGCCAACGAGGGTGCTCTGGTGGCCTGGGAACGACTTACAAACAAGGCGATTAGGTTCGTCAACAAGCGCCGCAAGGTGGGCTTGGCCTTCAACGGGTACAAGCGATACAGTTTGCGCAACACCGAGGGTTCCCGACCCACAGGCGCAAGGACTTCAAGGAGGAGGTCCACAACTCCGGGAGCTCCGCTCTTGCGCGAGGGACCCGCCTTGACAGATGGACCCCACCGAAGACGAGCTCCAGGCAATCAAGAATTTGGCTGAAGCCCGAGCGTGGTCGTTCTTGCAGCCTTAGGTCAGCCTGCAAGGGTCTGTGAGATCGCGCTCATCCTTCGACCAACATGGGATCGGGTCGTGAACAACTTACAAGTCCAAGATGCCGGCGATTGTAGGGCACCTGCTCGAGCATTGACTCCGGTCGAAGAAGCAAGGCTGGAGTCACTCCGGCGCGTTTGCTGCCTCAGGTCAGGAAGGCCAGTGGACAGGCCAGGTGATGTGGTTGCGCCAGCTGCTCCGGCAGTAGCGCCTGCCCCTTTTCCGCCAGCCGGGCGGGCGCGCTTGGCGTGGGTCCACCACCGCCGCAGGCCAGAAAGCTCAAGCTCAGCGCCGTGCTCGACCCAACGCTCGACGCCGAGATTCAGCCCCTCACAGACGCTGAAGTCCAAGGCATGTATGAGCGATACCGCAATCGCTTCGGTGACTTCCCCAGCGCCAACCCGGCGCTGGGCTATGTGGCAGCCACACCGTGGAGCGCATGCTACGCCGCCGCGATCAAGGACACGGAATTCTGGAACAAGGAGCTCACCACACCAACGACCCTCTTCCTGGCGAGAGCCAAAGGATCGCTGATGAAGAGGATCTGCAAGAAGGTGACACCAAGCGGCGCAAGGGTCAGCGCACCAATCGGACCTACAAAGGTGAAGACAAATCCAAACGGGGGTCCGATGGCACCTACTCCCACAACCGAAGAGGAGTAGAGATCTGTCGCCTTTACAATGGCGATAAGTGTGGCACCAAACAGGCTCAAGGAAAGTGCAAGTCCAAAAGATCTCATCAGTGCAACAAATGCTTGGGGCCCCATCAAGCAATTGCCTGCACTGGAGGAAAGAAGGACTGACCGACTGACCCAAGAAGGAGGCTAGTGGCACTCCGCCAACTAGTCAGGGAAAAGCTGAAACACCAAAGCCTGGCACCACGGCCAAAAGCAAGCCAGCCACCAGATCCGCGCCCAAGTCACCAGCCGAGCCTCCTACGAAGAAACAACGAAAGGAGGTTGAAGCCAGCCGCCAAGAAGTCGAGTATGAAGATGTCGAGGCCGAATCCTCCGGGGAGCCACCTCATGGCCAAGCCTCGGGATCGAGCGCCAAAGCAGATCGACCGCCAGCGGCAGAATCCCTTCCTACCTCCAGGTCTCAGGGGGATCAGAGCCAGAAGCTCCGCCCGGCGGTCGCGTTGAGAGAGCCTCCGAGGAAATACGGGCGGTGGACCAGCACCGTAGGCAGCGTAAGCAAGAAGCCGCGGACGCTAATCGTCTTTTCCGGAAGAACAAGGGAAGGCGATCTCGCCCACCAAATGGCCCGACTCGGTTGGCTCGTTTGCAGCCTGGACATCGTGCTCCCCACGCCTACCGACTTGGTGGACGACGCAACGTGGGAGGAGGTCAAGAAAGATCTGGATGTGGGCTACTTCGATGCTGGATGGATCGCAACGCCATGTGGGACTTTCTCACCATTACGGGAGAAGCCTCCGGGGCCCAGGGTGATTCGCACACTCGCGTTTATCACGGGCATCCCAGATCCCAAGAAGGCGGAAGCGGCTCAACTACGGGACTCCAACATCCTAGTACATCGATCGTTCAAAGTGGCCCTGAAGATGCACCAGAAGAAGAAGCCGTGGGGATTGGAGAACCCCGACCATCCTCCAGACAAACCCGCGTTGTGGCACATGCCGAGGATCAGAGACATACACACCTGGGACGGAGTCAGCATCATCAGGTTCGATCAGTGCGTCACTGGCCTGGACACTACCAAACCCACACAGCTGCGCATCGAAAGAATGGACTTATCGGCCTTAAAAGACAAGAGATGCAACCACGAGAAGAAGACGTGGACGCGTGAGGATGGTTCTGCATTCCAGGCCGCACACAAGTCCACGGTGCAGAGGTGGGAAAAGGTGGATGGCAAGATGCAGCGGGCATCCAAAGCTCAGGGTGAGTATACACCCCTTTTGAGCCAGATACTGGCAGTGGCCATCCACAAGAATGTGAGTGAAACATGGAAGAAGGAGGAGCTCACCACCGAGAACCTCTGAGACACTCCGGTAGTGCCTGATGCTTCAACGCTCCAGCCCTCGACGGCCAGAGAAGAAGGGAACAGACGGGCTTTGGGTGGAATGCGCAATCCTCACCTCGCGATTCAGCGTACGCCGCACATGAAGGAGCCCGGAGCCATCGTCCGCAGACTCTTGATGGCAGCCCAGGACGCATCACCAGAGCTCACCGGCATCGGTCACGACATACTCACTGGTCGAGTGGCAAAGCCGTTCCCGGCAGAGGTCGTGGACCGGCTGAGGGCTCAGGTGGCAGAAGCATTGGGAACAACACTACGTCCTCGGCAACGAACAGCACGGGCAAGCACACCAATCCACGCAGGCATCATAGAAGCCTGGGGTGTCGCAACCAAAGACCCGGACACCAAGCACCTCAGCCAATGGTTGGACCATGGAGCCCCACTCGGGTATAGCGAAAGCATACCCACGGCAGGCATTTTCCCGGAAGTGCCGCGAGCCGAGACTGGCCACGTCGCACAACAAGACTTGTATCGGGCCATCGAAGGTTGGCAGAACTAAGTCGGCCGAGGATCGGACAACATGGGCGTGCTACGCATGCTGGCCAAAGGAAGCGCAGCCTCCGTGCAGATGAACATCCTGGCCAGAGAATTTGCAATCGATCAGGCGCTGAGGGCCTATCGGATTCATTGGCTCTGCCATCTGCCCGGGGTGGTGAATTTAGAGGCCGACGCTCTGTCCCGACAGGCGGCGCCATCGCCACCGCAGTTTCCAGATCACCTGAGGTCAGTCGAACGCTCACGCGTGGAGATTGAACCCAGCTTCTGGAAGGTAGGGCTAAGCTAGTCCGTTACCAATAGAAGACCCGAGGCCAGATCGGAAAAGATTGCCACGTGGTCGAGCGGGGGGGCGGAGTACAGGTTTGTGACACCACCACCTCTCCACCCTCTGTCGTTCACGATGCGGCTTGATAGTCGGTTCAAGGCGAACACGGCGCCGCAGCATGCCGTTCAAACGATCGCTCGCCTCACAAGCAGGCGTCGCCCCGCCGACACGACCGCGACCAACCCTACTCCATGAAGGGTTTGCTTTAGCGCCGGCGACCCGAGCTCTCACAGAGAAGCCGGCCTCCGCGGCATCGGTCGCATCGCCCGCCACACCTGGCGGCGGCCTGACACCTGTGCCTGTTCTCTACACCGCAAAGAACTCTGCCCCTACCACGTCGCTGTGGAACATTTGAACAAGCTTCCACATGGGCCGGACCAATATATCTTCCCGGCCGCAAACGGCCACAGTTCGACTAAGAAGGGTTGGGCAGACACCTTTGAAGCCTTAGCCAAGATACTGGAGCTCCCGATCACGCACCAGAATGGTGCTAGAGCATTCACCGGCCACACGGCTCGTGTCTCAGGGGCCAGGTTCATGGCTACAAACAACATCGAACTCTGGAGAATCCAGTTGTTCGGAAGATGGGGCTCAGAAGTCTTTCTGCATTATATCCAAGACGCTCCGCTTGCACAGCTCGACATGCTGGCGCTGGAGTCCACAGCAGCCATGTCGGTACACAAGGCTCAGGAAGAACTCGAACTCCTGCAACGACGCATTCAGGACTGCAAAGCATCCTTTATGCCCCCGGAGCTGGATATGCTAGAAGACTGTGCGGCTTCCGTACACCTCGCGCATCAGGAAGAGAATCTTCCAGGTGTCATAATTTTTAACACGTCTCGAGGTGGCAAATACCATTGCACCTTGATCTACAAGTTAGATATCCACCCGAAACGGTGGCGTACACGGTGCGGATGGCCCTTCGGCAAGAACCAAGCCGAGCACCGGGCTTGCGAAAGTTTGAACAATGCACCCATCCACCTAAGTGCTTTCCCCGCTGGCGCCCCGCTGACCCTGAGCCCTGCACTTCAGGCAGCGGAATTTCGGTTTCGTCCAACGAACCCTGCGCGTCTGACGCAAGTGGGACATAATTGCATGGCTGTTGGTCCAACGAGTCAGAAGGGCACCAAATCCTGGCATCCCTGGATGCCAACCGTGAATTCGGTT